ATTAGTTTTTTTCACAAGAACTACATTTGAGAGCCAGGTTATGTACTGGGCTTCAGAAATATAATGTGCCTCTAGGAGGTCTTTTACAGCTAGTTTTGCAGCTTTTTCTTTCTCGAACGTCTGCTTTCTTCTACGTTGCACGGCCGCCTTGAGGGAAGGATCTATAGTCAAGTGATGGCATGCAACTTATGGATCTAAATCGGGCATCTCGGTCGCACTCCAGGTGAACATATCAGCATTCTCCCTTAGGCAAGCTTTGAGTTGCCTTTTTGCCTGGTCGGGGAGGTCTGCTATAATCTTCACTCCCCTGGTGGGGTCTTCTCCAAGGGGAACTAGCTCGAATTTGCCATCCGGGATAGGTCGTGCGTTACTTGAGAGATTGTCGTGAACAGTAGAGGGGATCAAACTTTCTTTTTTGACCATAGGCTTTTCTCCCTTCCTTCTTTGCTCGACACGGCCTTCTTTAGAGAAGTGACTGTCGAGGTCAATGGTATCAACCCCCAGCAGAGGCTTGACTTCCTCGGAGCTGCAGGGCAGTGTGGCTTCAGTCGTAGTTCGAGGTTGAGCGCTGATGGAACTGAGGCCCTTGGCTGAAGCTTCGAAACAACTTCTTGCTGCTTGGATGTCCCCGTGGAGGGTGGCGACCAAGCCTTCAGCGATGTAGTACTTCATCTTGAGATGCACGGTAGAGGGAATCGCGATGAGCTCAACAAGAGTGGGTCTCCCGAAGATGCACTGGTAAAGTGATGGACAATCTACCACTAAGAATTGGGTCTTGATGGCTCTAGCCGTTACCCCTCTCCCAAAGGTGACGATCATCTCGACATATCCCCAGGGCTTTGTGTTGGCTCCATTGAAGCCCTAGAGATTTGATCCCACGTAAGGGGTCATATGGCTCTCATTCATCTGTAAAGTAGTGAACAATTGGGCGTACATGATGCCCATTGAGCTGTCTTGGTCGACCAGTATGCGGCGCACGTCGAAATTCACCATACAAGCTCTCACGAGTAGTGGGATGGTCGAATTCAGGGCTCCGACTGACAATTCCTCCCTGTAGAAGGCGAGGGGATGAGAGCCTCCTTGGAATTTATTGAGTGTGACGTCCATATCTGAGTTGGCTTCGATGAGATGGTCGAATCTCCTCTTCACCGACCCAACCGTGTGCCTGTTGGATCCTCCACCGGAGATGACCATGGTTGCGGGGAAAGATTCCCAAGGACTGTGGGAGGAGAAGTACAG